CTTAGAAGTTTTACAACTTACTAATTTACAGTACTACTGTACTACTAATTACGTAAACCATACGGCAGAGCACACACACGTACACTCCTACACATGACTAACACCGGTGCCAGGCAGCCCTAGTTCCGCCCAGCCGCTCTCCCGTATTACCGTTAAGCCGTCTGCATACCTGGCCATACCTCACTGCCTTTCTATCAAACCCTTTTGTTGCCGACACAAGAATTTCTTAGACATGAATCCCCCCTTCGCGCCTTCCTATAAGCATCTTCTACAAGATCCCTCACTCCTAGAAACTTACACTACACTCAAATAACTTCTCGGCACTCATAAACTGCAAATACTTCATCATAATTGCAGTAATTATCGAGTTTTAGTCAATAAAATCATACCAGACTGTCTCCATACCTGATCGGCTTCCATGTTGTGCAGCGGTGGCTGACGGGTATTGACCTGTAACCTTTGACCTGATGAAAGTCACCAAAATACCATCATTTTGCAGACGACATTTTCACACGTTTGTGATTTTTACTGTTCTCTGAACTGTTTTAAACTTTTGTTCTGTTAGCGTATGTTTGTTGGAGGAATCCTTTACACAGAAAAACGTTCTGTTACCGAAAATCTACTCGTAATTTTTAAGGACTGATAAAGTAAGTTGCAAAGTTAATGTGAGGGGGGAGGGGGGCTAAGGCAAAAGGAGAAAATTTGATTTTGAGAAGGAAATCGTTACTCAAGCAACCGATTCCAAATCTACTCATTCTCTTGAGTGACAAATGATTTCCTTGTATCTACGTTGGTAGAAATTAAGGGTTTAAGAAGAAGTTATTGCCATGATTTTTGTCCAAAAGAAAAAACAAACAAACTAGAAACTACGTTTAGAGTGGAGTAACGTTTAGAGCATCCTCGAGCCTCATTAAACTAATAGAATTTTAGGTTTTAAACAAAATATCAGGTGTGTGTAGGTTCAATAAATGTAAACAGAACTGCAAGACTGGTGGAAATACAGAGAAATTTAACTCTTTATAACTTCATCTTCATCTTGAGTACCCTGAGCTGAAATAACCCCGGGGTGCCGTTAGGGGGGGTAGAGGAGGTCAAGGATAAGGCGGGCAGGCCGCCAGAACGACTCAACATTGGGAGCCATAACTACCGGGCCGGGTAAGGAGTTCCACTGTGGGATGGTACGGGAAAAAAACAGAAACTGTAGGTGTCGGTGCGTGTGAGTACGCCCCTGTGTGGACTGCAAGATAAACTGCAATAACTGAATTTATATATAATCTTTTGATGAACTGCTCCCCAGACAGATATGGCTGACAGATAGCAGCGTCACCAGGTTGTACAGTCTCACCAGTTATCAGGATGTTCTCCTCTCGCCTGCGGTCGGCTGTACATGTAGAATTACAGAAAACTTTTCCTGTTTATAACTGAATTTATATCACTTGTATATCACAAGTTTGTAATTTGCTCCACAGACAGACATGGCAGACAGATAGCAGCGTCACCAGGTTGTACAGTCTCACCAGTTATCAGGATGTTTTTCTCTCGCCTGCGGTCGGCTGTGTGGAAGGCTGCGGCAGTGGTCGGATACGCAGTCCAGTACGGCTGCATAGCTCACTGTACACTGGAGTACGCTGCTGACTTTATTGTCGTGAGTTTTGGCTTCTAGTTTCTGAAATTTTCTCACTCCGTTTCTAGCTCACTCACTCACTCACTCAAGGCCGCATGCTTCCGAGGGAAGCGTAGCGTAGCGCCTCGGTTTCTAGCTCCATGGTGAAAATTAGTATTACTTACATGTACCTTAAGTTATCGTTAGGAAGGCCTCGAAATAAAGGATTCATGTTTGAGTAACCGCACCTTGAGGTTGTTAAAGAGCCCACCACACTTATCAAAAAGAGATGGGGCCCATCCTGACCATGTGAGTGGAGCACCTTACACAGTCTGTAGTTGTATGCATTTCAAATGTAACACAAATGCACAAAACTTGATGTGTAATGTTTATGCAAACAAACAAGAACAACAACAACAATATTGGACAGAGTATAATAAAGGGTTAATGCACTGCCCCGAGTTGTATATGGTGTCATAACTGCATGAGCAGCTGCCATAACCACCTCATAAACCACCGTGTGAGCGAAGCGAACGAGGTGGTTTATGAGGTGGTTATGGCAGCTGCCCATGCAGTTATGACACCATATACAACGAGGAAAAGGCAGTGCATTAAAATTATTATCATATAGCCTATCCAAACTGTCAATCAACACAATTCCTGTTTGAAATACAACAGCTTTAATATATATACATACATAAAAATACATTCGAATATATTATACGCTTTAAAACAAATATGGATAATTTCATTTAATGCAAATTGTAGTTTAAATGAAGCTAAACAGTTTATTGGACAGAAAAATGCTACAAAGGTTTACAGAAAGAGTCGCATGCCCCTATACCCTATAACATAATGGTATCAGCCATAACACGACATGTGCTGTTATTCCGCCATAACACCACATGTGCTGTTATCGGGAAATAACAGCACGGGTATCCGGGCCTCTGATTGGTCCACGCCGTCCGGCTATATGATAATAATGCTTTAGCCTCACAATCATTATAACCAACATGACATATATCAAAGAAAGGTGAGAAGCTTGTAAAGCTAGACTTTTGAATTTGTACCCTGCTGACATTTCAGTGTCTATCAGACACCTTCCTCAGATCTTAATCTAGAGCTTCTGACTGGAGTTCTGCTTCTCGCCACTATGTGTAGCCGATGTAGGTGGCACTTTTGCGGTGAGAATGGAAGGTGTCTGACTGACACCAAAATGTTAGCAATGTACGAATAATTGGTTGTGTAGAAGAAAACCCTTACTACCTTAGTATATCCTATACCTTATCAACCTGATGAAACTATTTTCGGAAGTGAAAGTTTGAAGTTTTCCTGTGTATGTTCAGTGTTCGGGCCCGTCCATGGAGCCGACCATCCACACACAGGACATCCTCATCACCGAGAAGTTCAGCATCATGCTCAAGACTGTGGAGGTGTAAGTACTTTTTAATTATCTAATCTTACATTGTCATGGAATCACACATACTGGATAGTGAACCTAACACTGTCTTTTCACAAGGAAAAAGTTACTAGTATTCAAGCAACTGGGTAGATTTTGAAAATGTATATCACATCACATTACCTGAATGTCTAAATAAGTACCCTTTATTGACTTAAATTTTAAAAACATCTTTAGTTCCTGTAAGAAAGAGTAAGTAGATAACGTTTGTTTCTTTGCTGTTGTTTTTTGTAGATCATAATCGTTAAGAAAACCAATATCCTGAAAACTAGTTTCATGGTGAGAAAGAAATTACCTGTAAATGTATGTGATTCTTGGGGGCAAGGTGAGTTTATATTAGGCCACACCAAGTAAACACCAAATTTATGGATGACGTCCGCGCGCGCATTGATTTTGGCCTCTTCCTAGAAAAAACACACAAGAAATTTCGCTTCCTGTAACTATAACCAGCAAATGGTCAGATTGACGTGAAACCCGTAACGCGAAGAAAGTGTCTATTGACAGGACCATCCTGTCAATAACAGAAAATTTGCACTATTGACAGGACCATCCTGTCAATAACAGAAAATTTTTCACTGTCCACTGTTCCACCTGATTTATTGCTGTTTTGATGATGAATAAAAGACTTCTTGCTTGTTACACTGTGTCACCTCATTCAATTTGTGTCCTAACATTTGTGGTCTCTTAGTATATTTCTAATCTAGGCATCTTGTTTTTTAGGACCCTTCTTGTTTTTTTTTCGCCCTCTCGCATTAGATTTAGGGTCTCCAAAGGACGTCATCCATAAAATTTACTTGGTGTGGCCTTAGCTGCCTGTAACCATTATCCGTCCATAGGCAAATGGTAACACAGGCTACTGTTATTTGATTGCCCCTGCATGCCTCTGAATGAATATGCTTGGAGATTAGCTTGTTCGTAATGTTTTTTTAAGTCGCATGACCCATTTTTCAGGTCTTCAGTTTGAACCTCCATCATTCCAAATGCAATTGATGTTGTGTGTTTTTGTTTCTTTCCATTTATTTATCCAGGGGCAGCATATCGCAAATGGGGGTTTTCAATGCTCCCTCCACAGATAACAGAAAAAGTATAAACTAACTTCATATGGCTCTATGGCTCAACTCTGTGGCTTTCTCCCGCCCATTTCATCTGGAGTCCGATGACGTATACTTGCCCTAGCCTGGCACTGGGCATGTTCGTAGTAACAAACCAGCTGGTAGATTAGTACACGTGTGGCTTCCTATTGGGAGACGTAGAGTGGGACATCCTTATAGTACTAGTACACTTTTGTCCATGCTAGAGAGAGACGCTGGTCTCACAGGGCCTGCATTAGTGTCCGCTATGATAGATAGGACATACTGGAGTAACTTTATCAAGTGTACCTCACCGGATTAGTATAAACTAATCCGGAGGCATGATGATGATGATGAACTTCATATATTCCAGAGGGGATGTTGTGATTGCCAGGTCTCCCACCAACCCTAACATCTTCATCTGTAAGAGAGTAGCCGGGATGGAGGGGGACAAAGTCTGCCTCAACCCTGGGTCATTCATCAAGAAATACAGATGGGTAAGTTCACTGTCAAACTGATAGGGGGCTCTGCTAATACTAGTATTGCAGTACATTGTATGGTAGTAGTTAATGCAGAGCCTACATGTATATGTTTGACAAGTTAGTGCCTCAAACCAGGATCCTTCAATACATACAGAATACAACACAGTGTAACACAGTTGACTGACAGTTTAAATATAGACTCCGTATCACCCGAGATACATTTGACCCGAGATACAGCCGAAGGCCCACCCAAGAAAACACACCTTTCAGTATATACAAAATGAGCCAAAATTTGGTGTCCCTAGATCAAAAAATGTAACAACATCATTTCCAATGAAACATTTGGAAGCCCAATTGTGATAACCAAATAGAGCCCTAGGCATGGTCCGTGCACATATCGAACATTATTGCGGCCCAGGTGCAACATAAAAGTAGTTATGTATATCATTTACTGTCTCCAAGGAGGTTAATGGTGTCTCTGATGTTTCAGTTCATTTATCCCCTTCTGCAATTCCATGATACATACAAAATATAGCATTGCACACATGCTCAGTGCTGATACCTTTTGTGAGCAGTATCGGTAAGGGGGTGAAGTCTGCCATCTCTGACTCAGTATGGGTAAGGGGGTGAAGTCTGCCATCTCTGACTCAGTATGGGTAAGGGGGTGAAGTCTGCCATCTCTGACTCAGTATGGGTAAGGGGGTGAAGTCTGCCATCTCTGACTCAGTATGGGTAAGGGGGTGAAGTCTGCCATCTCTGACTCAGTATGGGTAAGGGGGTGAAGTCTACCATCCCTTATTTGTTACCTTGTTACTCCCCAGGTGCCCAGAGGCCATGTCTGGTTGGTCGGAGATAACATGGGGAACTATGGGTAAGGGGGTGAAGTCTGCCATCTCTGACTCAGTATGGGTAAGGGGGTGAAGTCTGCCATCTCTGACTGCCTTGTTATTCCCCAGGTACCCAGAGGCCATGTCTGGTTGGTCGGAGATAACATGGGGAACTCGAGCGACTCCCGAATCTACGGACCGGTACCCTACGCACTGCTCAGGAGCAAGGTCCTCTACAAGGTCAGATCATGGGTAGCACTTTTCTCTTGCATACAGTGAAGCAAAACCTGTACTAGTGGTCAATTGACCACCTCTAAATACTCAGGTGGCATCATGGCTATAGGTGTTTGCCCTGAACCCAAATGTCCAAGGTTTGAATCCCCTGACATGCCTCATGTGTCTCAGGCAAGCCACATTACAACTCGAGCACTTTAAAGATCAAAAAGAGTACATTCCATTCTAAATTGTGGGGTAGGGAGTTTAGGGAGATTTTTCTCCTACTGGATCAGTTTATAGTCCAGTTGCTTTCAGTGAGTCCACCTTGAGCATTGATGTTTCTGACATATAGCTAGGAAGACAAAATGCTGACCAGGCCACTTCATGCAGTGTTCGAAATACCTGTCTGCAGTCTGCAATCTGCAGATAGATTTCAAAGATTGCAGAAGAAAAATTTATACAATCTGCAATTTTGCAGCAGGAAAAATTGGCACTTGGGATTTGGTGCTCTTGGCCCCAAGGACAGACAACACTTAAGCTCCAGTGTTCTGAAACAACAGGAGCTTCTTCACTAATTTACATCAACCTTGTCTTGACTTGTCTATTTTTTGTTTCCTTTTGGACTTCCAAAAATTTGTCTTCACTAATTTGCATATCAATCAATAGTTCATGCTTATAAACTTGCAAGATTGTAGTATAGAGGCTTGTGTATTTGCAGAAAGTATTTCCAAATTGCAGAACAAAATTTTGACTCTTCTGCAATATTGCAGAACACTGAAAAAAAGTATTTCGACCACTGTCATGTATCCCATAACCTTGAAGCAATCTCCAAGTGACCATTGACTGAGAAAGAAAAAGAGTAGAATTTTTTCAGCTCTCATTTATATATTCTTTAGTCTAATTGTTCTACTGTTGATGATCTGACAACCAGTTCTCTCCACCCTTCTCACAGCACTAAAGTGGGACATACACAAACTTCATCAACTTGTACAGCCTGTATGTAGGTATTCTCAAACAAACAGCCTATTTTCATACATGTAGGAAATTCAAACTCTACTACAGTAACTGGATAAATTATGGGGATAATATCCGGACGTTTCGAGTGACATCCACCACTCTTCTTCAGCGTCACTAATGAGCTAACAGAACTCCAGAAAGCATATTATGAGCAACTGGAAAATACAGTTAAACATGACAAAGGTCCATAAGGTCACTGATCTGTTATGTACATTACAATAGGGTTTAAAGTATGTTCCTATATGGTTAGACAACTCTATAGGAACTGCTAGGTTGTTGCAGGGCAGGGCTCCATGTACTAGAGAGCTCTACGAACAGTCCTCCCTGGTTTAAGGTGGATTTGAACCTTCTGTAACAGTGGGGGTTTATAGGCGCTACCAACAGATCCGGCAAATGGGTCTAGACCTTTTAGCGGAGAGGTTAGAGTGTCTGACTGGGGCCCGAGAGGTCGTGGGTTCAAACCCCGCCCGGGACCAGTGGGTTTTTACGGCTCCTCCTGTTTCTTACAGTGGTTCCCACACCGGGAATCGAACCCGGGCCTTGGCGGTGAGAGCGCCAAATCCTAACCACTAGACCATATTGAAAAGAAAAAGGGGGAGTAGTGTAACAGTGCTAACTGACCATGCTAAATGGTCGTGCGACCTTTTAGTGTAGTGGTTAGCGTTGGTGACCGCCAAGCGGACAACTCGGGTTCGATTCCCGGTTGTGACCTGCTCGCCCCTTTCGTTTCTTACAGTGGTTCCCACACCGGCCCTGGGAGTTCTGGCAAAGAGTGCCGCTCCAGGAATGTCGAATTCGGAAGATTCGAGGACGAATCTTGAAAAGAAAAGGGGGAGTAGTGTAACAGTGGGGGTTTATAGGCGCTACCAACAGATCCGGCAAATGGGTCTAGACCTTTTAGCGGAGAGGTTAGAGTGTCTGACTGGGGCCCGAGAGGTTGTGGGTTCAAACCCCGCCCGGGACCAGTGGGTTTTTACGGCTCCTCCTGTTTCTTACACTTCATCAAACAAACAGCCTATTTGTTTCCATTCCTCACTGCCATCTCCCCTGTAGTCAGGACCGTTAATCAGCCTGATTTGTGCAAGGCTGTTCCCAAATGGTGCATCGAAAGGGAATTTCGTGGAGGTCAAACTTCAAATTAAAGCCCGGCAGTCCCATTTAGACAAATAGGCCGGGAAATTAAGATTGGTTTCCGGTGAGGAAGTACATGGACGTTTGTCAACTAACAAGGCAGAATACTCAAACTTCTGTGATCTCAGAGTCTGAAGACTATCTGCAAAGGAACACACAAATACAATTATCAAAAAAAAAAAGAAAAAAAAAGAAAGTCTAGTATAGATCTCTCTGATGTTTTTCATATACTGTATTACTGGGAGGCTTGCCATTTTCATTGAAGAACTGTAGGTTTTGTGATCTTTGTAAAAATGTACTTTTTATAGTTCTTCTAATAGTATACAATAGTTAGTGAAAACATGAAGGGATTGTGCTTACTGTTCCAAAAACCAGAGTATTTCTATTCAGCCTCATAGAGATGAGAATTTATTGTATTTCATTTTTCACTTAATTGCATGCTCTAATTCTTTAAAGAATGTCTTCCCTTCTATAAGCTGCAATCTTAGCCACTTATACACAGAGGAAATAAATCCATCCGTCTGCTTCGTTAGCCTAATTAGTTTTTATCCAAAACTTTACTATTATTCTTACTAGACTTCAGAAACTTTTTAGCTCATCAAAAGTAACCGTCTTAACTTAAGGTAGTATATATTTGACGAAAAAAGTCTACCGGAAATTATATGTATGAAATGCTGCTGCCAACCCTTGTAGTAGGGACAACAGCAGCAGTATAATCTAATCCTGGATAGTGAGTGCGAGTGCGTGTAAAGGCATTTTAAAGAAATGTATTTATGAGGAGACTATAGTATTACAAAGAAATGGACAATACCCTCATTCAATTAAAGATATAGGCCTGGCACATTTTCCAAAAGTTGATGATGCAATTTATACATGAATGTATCAAATAGCTGTATCTCTGCTGGTGAAAGAAATCAACAATCCACACAATTTATGAAGTGCTTTGGTACCATCTTTTGGAAAGGAACTGTACAAAATGAGACACCAGGAAGTTTCCACAGAACAGAAACCTTGTGCCATCAAACTGCTTGTTATTACCTCGTAGGAGTTTGGGAGCCAATTTGAGGTGATCTATACATGCAAATTTAGGTTGCTATCTCCAGCTTAGAGTTACCTGTAAGGCCTAGGAAAAAATGTTGTGTTTCCTGTTTCCCGACCTACCCTAGAAAAACCTGCTGAACCTATAGCCTTTTTTTTTGGTGGACCCCGCAAGGGACATAAAAATACTAATTTTTCGAGCTAATCAACCTTTTCTACACATGTAGCTCCATGGGTGAACATGGGGACACCTGAGTGAACATTGTACAGTTGGTTTTCTAACATTGACGTTCAAAATAAAAGTGTCCAAGTTTTACTTGGACCCCTACATGTATATAGATTAGATATCACTGAAGTCTACAATTAAAAAAAAAAGATAATCCCTACCCTACCTACCGACCCTATTTTTTTCAGGACTGAAACAGGAAACACAACTTTTTTTCCCTAGGCCCAAAGAGTAAATCAGTCAGACTCTACATATACCTCGTTACATGGTGGTGAGAATTGTGGTGTCTATAGTCCGTGCAGGACACCAATTATCCAGCCGTGGTAACGAACCAGAACAAATTGCCAGTGTGGACCTACATCTGTACAACAATCTGTCACACCATGCAGCACCAGTTCTGTTGGTTGTTTCTTAGATATTTGAAAAAAAAAAAATATATATATATATATATATATACATGTATAGCCTTATAAGTATCAACATGAAAACAGAGTCTTGGAGTACAGTCCATACATACAGTCTGTACCTTAATTGTTGATATCATAATACTTCATGTACTTTAAGGCCACACCAACTCAATATGGATGACATCCACGGGCGCATTGATTTTTGCCTGTTCTCAAAAAAGACGGAGCCCCAGTGGTAAGAATGGAGGATGACACCCAGGCTACGGAAGTTTTGTGACTCAAGAATTCTGTACATATGTACAGTGCTGAATCATAAATTCTGCAAAAAGCTAGCATGTGCCGGCTTGTCGTATATGTCACTATTTACTGCCGCAAATTCAGGATACCAGCTTTGTATTAATTCCTGTGGTTTAGTAGCAGTTTTATTATTTTTTGTTTGAATGCGCGCACTAGTTTGGGGGTCTTCAGAGGATGTCATCCATAAAATTGAGTGGGTGTGGCCTTATGTACTTTTAAGTGAATATAACACAATGTTACACACATTCAATTTGTTGGTACTCAGATTTTTGAATAACTGAAGATAAACTCGAAAACTCTGAGTCTGAGAGGACAGTGTCCTCGGATAAATTTTGACTTCTAACCCACCCATGTTCTCAGCCACACAACGTCAGTACTTAGTCTAGTATAATATTGCATTGCCAAATCTTTATAAATGAGGATATGGACACTGGTGGGATAATGGTTTGCAACCATATATAGGATCTGCTTGGAGATTAAAATGAACAAGCTTTCAAATTGTACATGGCACCTGTTAGCTCAGTACAGGAACAACAATGAACAACAACCTTGAGTTGCCCAACTCATTTTTTAACTTCCTTGTTCCTGCTAGTTTTATGGATGTCCCCACAGGGGAACCAAAACATTAGCTTGTTTTGCGCCTGGTTATTTCCACATTATTCTGCTGCAGTAACGACATATTCTGTCATTCTGCTGGTTTTGGATGGCACCCTCTGGGTTCCCTAGTCTGCTGCAAAAGGGAAGAATGAAGCATGCAAATTTAGGTTGCTATCTCCAGCTTAGAGTTACCTGCATGTCAGGCCTAGGAAAAAATGTTGTGTTTCCTGTTTCCCGACCTACCCTAGAAAAACCTGCTGAACCTATAGCCTTTTTTTTTTGGTGGACCCCGCAAGGGACATAAAAATACTAATTTTTCGAGCTAATCAACCTTTTCTACACATGTAGCTCCATGGGTGAACATGGGGACACCTGAGTGAACATTGTACAGTTGGTTTTCTAACATTGACGTTCAAAATAAAAGTGTCCAAGTTTTACTTGGACCCCTACATGTACATATCACTGAAGTCTACAATTAAAAAAAAAAAGATAATCCCTTTTTAAAAGGGAAGAATGAAGCATTGGATGTTTGTTTTATGTTATGGTTAGAGATTCCTTGATAGTGTGACAGGCTGAATAAAACTTCTAAACAGGATGTTTGCGGCTCCAGATGTCTTATCGAGGGACGACTGTGTGTGCAAGATGTTGGTTAGCTTGAGGAATGAATCCCCTCTACTATATACTGTTTTTTATGTTATGGTTAGAGATTCCATGATAGCACGTCTGCGTATTTCTCATCATTTTCTTAGCAATTATGAAGCTTTCTGTGGTGGTTTAAAAAGGTCTTGTAGCTTTTTAAGTACATACAAGGCTTGTTTTGTGTAATTGGTCATCTATAATGGTCGTCTAAGCAATTAAAGCATCGCTGCATAACCCATATATCGATACCCTCCCTTAGATTCATCCTATATCCCATTCAATATCTCAGAAAATATCTTAAAAGTTCACATTCACAATGCTATTGCTGTAGCAACAGTTATGTTTACCGAAGGAAAACATATTGTTTTTGCTCAGTTTCTTCTTCTTGTCCAAACCAGTAAGGTCAATGACCTGAACCATATGCCTGTCACCATGGTAACTGGTGTTGGGCTACATCATGTTGCAATTTTATAGCAGGAGGGACTTAGACTCCTGTCTGACCATATATATGAAACTTTGAAACTTTGAAACTTTATTAGAATAACCATTAGCGGTGGACCCTAGGGTCCGCTAGTCTTCCTGGTATTCATACATACAGACAATACATTATACAAACATAGTTGACAACTGGACAAGTCACAAAACACAATCTAAATCAATCAATAACATAATTTACAATAATTATGAATGTGTAAGGATTAACAGAGCAGATCATATACGAAGGTAAACATTTATCTATCTATGACGATTTACCACATTTGTGGAAGGATTGACATAACAGGTGACTATCACCTTTACAAGATGTGAAACCTGAGACCAGACTGTAATGTTTGAACCACTCACACCGGGAAGGTCCCCTACTCTTTTCGATAAGTGCGGTGGGTTCTTTTACGTGCGTGGAGTGTGGCTCTCCCAAACACGGGACCTCCATTTAACGTCCTATCCGAGGGACGTCCCTAACCGAAGCTAGGTGTAAATACACCTGAGTGAAGTGAGGAAAGTCGTGTAAAGTGCCTTTCCCAAGGGCACAAGATCGGTGACATGGGCAGGATTCGAACCCGCAACCTCTCGGGTGTGAGCCGAACGCGCTACCGACTGCGCCACACGACCCCATTTATAATGCATTTGCTTTGCAATTGTTACCTTAAAGTTTCTAGTTTCTAAACATTTTAGTTGCAATTTCAATGCAGTCTGGTATTTTGCAGTTGTAGCAATTATTATAATCATTATGATGCAGTTCATCTTTATAAAGTTTTAAAAAGGTTTCACTGCAACATTACAATTTACGAGTGCAAGATTGTCATTTATCATTACATTTCATCCATAATGTCATCTTTCTGTATCGCTGCATAACTCCAAACCCTAGAGTATACTCTTATTAACAACCTTGCACTCATTATCAACATTTTAATCTTTGTTTCCACTATACCTTTAATGCATGCTGGTACTTAACAGAATTCCCAACTGACGTAATTTAGCACTAAAATAAATTTGTGTGATTATTATCATACTTTTGAAAAGGTTTCACAACAATACATCTTATGAATGTGCAACAATTGTCAGTTGTCATCATATTTAATCTGTAATACAAGTAAAATCTGAGATTTTATACCTCCGGGCTTTTTATTGTATATTTCTCCATGTTGTTTGTTCTGTATAGTTGATGGTGTTGAATTTTATGTGTTAGATTTAGCGTTCCTGGTTGTGTTAATACAGGACTGGTCAACATTTTCATCTGCAGCCCATACCATGTACCCACGGTAAAAATGCATGTCGAGAACGTCTGAGACAGTATACCACGGTATTTGTAAGTTAAGAAGTCGTACTATACGCCGAAAACATCCAAGATTGCGCAAGAGGGCGTTGACCCCTGACCCATTGGCCCACCCGGAAGTTGCGCTGGCAGCCAGCCCAGCGCCGCGCGCGACCATTTTCAGATTTTTACGCCCCAAAACACATATACAATAAAAACAAAAAAACCTGCACCATCTACAGCCCATTAGTAGAACATACACCGAGTCCAGTCTACCCCAACGCGAGATACAACTGCGATAATATTTCAAAATACATATCGGAAGCAGACACCCCTCTGTTTGACCCCTTTTAAATGGTAAGACCCAAAACTGAAACCTCCCCATTCCTTAACAACATGGTAAATTCCATTTTCAGCATGGCGGGGGTGTCCGGAGCACTTAAAAACCTTTTATTTCCACGCCCATAAACACATATACAATTAAACAAAAACGTTCTGCATCATCTGCAGCCCAACAGCAATACGTATACCGAACAACAGACCAATCCGTCCAGCCGATCGCGAGAAACAGCTGCTGACAGAAATGTTTCGAACCATAGTAAAACCTCCTCGCGGAAGGATATCTCCTTCCCCGGAGGTAATAATCTTCCTGTACTCATTATTTACAGTACACTTTCACTGTGAATACCTTTAATGCAAACTTAACAGAAATCCCAGGTGATGTAGAGCACTAAAAGGAAAAGGTTTCTAGTCAAGACAGAATGTTGATACTATTCCATTAAATCATAATAAATTTAGGTTAGGTTATAAATCATAGTTTTATGTACATAGCTTTTGCAGAGCTCATAACATCCCAAACATATAAATTATGTGGATCAAAACTTATACTTACATGTAGCTTGTACAGTTTACTTACATTACTGAACAAAGCTGAACATGTGCTTGAAGGATGTTTACCTATTATTCAAAACAAAGAAACAAAAATACTCTATCATTATATACTAACTGTATCACAGTCACTGCAACTAGTATATATAATCCTAATCCTTTCTGCTCCTGCAATGTGAAAGAAAGAAAGACCTTTATTGTACGTTTGTGCTCTAACAAGCTAAGTACAGGTCATGGATAGACAAGGAAATGGATACAGCAATGATACTTAAACTATACATACTAATGTGATCTACTATTTACATTGTTCGACTTCTTCTCGCTTCTTGACACAGTTATAGATGTACGAGCATATAGAATTAGTGATACATGGTTTGTCAAGTTTCATAAGAAATAGGAATTTTTCTGATTCATTTAAATGTGCAAAGCTGGGGAACTTATCTATTATATAAGAATATAGGGAATCTCTCTCATTACTATATAACGTACAATTGACTACGAAATGATACTCATCCTCAATCTTATTTAAATCGCAAAATTGGCAAATCCTTTGCTCTAGAGGAATGCGGTTGTGTCTGCCTTTTTCTATGTGGAGTTTGTGTGAACTTATCCGGAGTTTTGTGAAGGCTGTTCTGTGTCGAATGTTTGTAATTTTCAGGTAATTTTCCTCGTGGTAAGTATTTTTTAATAATCTGACAGTGTATGTCCGTAATTTGTTGTTGTTCCGCGTTTCTGATATAAAAGATTGGAGATACATGTCCATGCAATGAAGTTAAAGTGGTTTACAGTACAGTAACTGTTTATCCTGGGTTGTCGTTGTAGCACATGTATTTTGTCTTCAACACACTAACAACTAGGCCAACCTCGGCAGCAGCTGAGGCAGTTTTTGTCAGTCGTCTGCTCTAACGCAGCCGCCAGATGATGATGATGTTTATCCTGAATAATGCAAAGTTGTATTAACATTATAACAAAGAGAGATGCATGTAGGTAATTCTGACTAATAGCATAATCTAATTGTAATGAAAGTAAAAACAGAATTGAAGAAAAGAATTAAAAACAGTCTGTTTACTTTATTGATGTCAGTAATTTATTAAGAAGACACCCCTGGGTGTACTATCTCCTATTACACAAATTCTCTAGGGCATATGTGCTTTTCTAAGAAGTTCTTGTTTGCCTTCATGCTGAGAATCACTTTGGGTGGTTATTCATGGTTAGGGCAGCAGCATTTTTTTTTTGGTGAGTGACGTGAGTTATGCCCTGGAGGGATGGCTTGGCTGCTGAGGGAGTTTTGGCTGGGAGAGACAGTTTCGCAGCTCGGTTTTATTGGGCAGCAAAACCGTCTCTCCCAGCCAAAACTCCCTCAGCAGCCAAGCCATCCCTCCAGGGCATAACTCACGTCACTCACCAGAAAAAATAACGCTGCTGCCCTACAAGTCTGCAAAGGAGGCTACCCTTGTTGGCTTTTTTAAAAAGCATTTCTTGTTTAACTCTTCGCCCCCTGCAGGTTTGGCCACCAGGAGATTCAGGCAGCCTAAGGGGCCCTCCACAGGGGATGCTGCCTGGCCTCAGGACCATGGGAGACACAGGCAGGTCCCAGGACAGATGACAGACAGGCAAACGATAGACAAGACAGTCACATCCTATGAAATAACTCTCAGTAGAACAACCTACAGTACAGGCAGATGCCCCTCTTCAGAAATACTGTACTGTAGCAGGGTGGAGTTCCCTGCCTGCAGGGATGGTGTCTATTTGCCCAGTTGCTAGACTCCTTCAGACTGAGTCAACCTCATGGCTCACCTGCAGTGGTCTGCATCTCTACCAAACACGTCACCATTTGAGAACATTAACATACCACCCCAGCCCAGTACAGGACTCCAAACAAGTGTGGCAAAGCCATCAGTCAACATCAGTCAACAAAGAAGATGAAGATGAACAAAGGAGCTTCACCTACACTCAGGGAAGGATCAGGCCACACCAATTTAATTTCTTGGTTAACGGATTCGCCTCTTCATTTTTTTCTGATTTGCAAATAAAAATAAAAATTCAGAATCAACTGCAAAATGCTCATATTTTGCCCTGAACAGTTGAAAACAGTCCTTTTCTTATTACTTGTTACAGTCATTCCATCTTTCAATGCAGTGCTACCATTAAAAGTTCAAAATTCATTGTTTAAATTTTGAACCAGCCTGGACTGTGTTGACTTAATGGCTCCTATCGTACCATTTTGGGCCATTTTGGATGCATAGGCCTGTTTTTATTTTTATTTTTTCGTCCCGCCCG